AAGTAGCCAATTTCCTATCCCTACTTCCTACCCCGACCACTTTTTCTCAAATTCCCAGTTTTATTTTCTTCGTAGAACTCAATACTATCTATACTTACGTCACATTCCTTAATTTGTGTCATACCCGTCACATTCCCTCACCCCACCCTGGACTGCGATCTCGTAAGGGCAGGCACCTCTCCTGTTTTATATCTGCTGTACCCCAAATTGCGCCTGGTCCCGTGTGTGATCCTCAATTACTATATTTTAAATATATGAGTAGACAGTCTCTGTCACATCCTGTCACAGGTCAGTAAGAGTGCTCTCTGCACTCCAAAAGAGTTGGTGGAGGTGAGCCATAGGGAGAGGGGCTGGGCAGTCTGCAGTGGCGTGTTATATATGGGAGGTCGATGGTGAGATTGCTTGTTCAACCCTGATAAATAGTGGTGGTATTTTAAGTGAGTTTCAAGCAGAAGCAGGGTCTTCAGGAGGATGCATGTGCTCAGGCCTAACAGCCTGGTCACTGGTCTTTCTCACACTGGCTGGGAGACCAGTGTGAGAGAGAAGACTTTGCAAAAGCTCATGGTGCCTTCTGCCCCTAGTGTAGGAAACAGCTATACTTCCTGCCACAGGAGGACTCCAGTGAGAACGGATAATCTAGTTGAGGTGCTTTGCCAAACCAGCTTTAAAAATTATATGATATAACATGTATTGAAAACACATCTTTAAAAATAAGTTTGTGAAAAATAAGTTTATCCAAATCAAACTCAACACTTTCTCAATATCTTATGGATTATGAATCCAAAAAAAGCAACCAGAACCTAAAATTTTGTGGGCAGAGAATAAAAATCCTTTTTTTCCCACCTCCTTGTCTTCCTCCTCCTTTTTAGTCCTGATCTTTCTCCTCTCCACCCCTGCTTTTCTCACCTGATCTGTTGTCTCTGGGGATGATGCCTGATAAAATTTATGGTGCTATGGGCTTAGTAAAATGTGAGTCACAGCTCAGCTAGCCTACTCAAGGGTGCAGGTGGAAAAAAAAAGGTAAGTTTTCTCTTTATAAATATCTTTGCTGTTCTTTAAATCTAACACAGTCTATCACTCTGAGCATCTATTTACCATATCATTTATACGTAATATTTTGTATGCATTGTGGGAATTTGGACTCATGTGGAACACTTTTTCAAGGGAAATCAAGTTACTGTTCTTTTTCCTCTTTTGCACAAATAGAAAGATGTTAAGGTAAGGCAAAGTGTCCCCCTCCAGGTGTCCCCCTCCCCTGTCCTATCCCCACCGAAGCAAGGAAGTTTCCAAATGTTCACTAGCCACTTTCGGAAACAGCCCTATGGCAGATGGAAGGAATTTCTACTCCCTGCATATGAGCAAAACCGTCTGATTTAGTTGGTTTGGTCAGGTCTTAGAAATATATTGACAAGCAAATGTATATCTGGGATAACTTATAGTTTTACTGTCTATATTGCTCCTGGGGGGAATGGCAAATTATGTAATGTGGCCCATCTGATTTTAAAAAGTCTAAATAGGTTAGAAATAATTAAAATCCAGTCTACCTTGTGAAGGTGTGTGCATTTAGAAATGCTCCAATATCATTTTTACCTTATATTCCCTTTCCTATCAGCCCAAAGAAGGAAAAATCTGCTCTTATCTGTTATCTTCCTCCTAGTAATCAGCAATGATTTTTCTCTCAATGTGAACTTTTCTCAAGAATGTTTCATTTTGATTTTATTATTATTTCTGGCTTCTTGAAGAAATAGGACTTTCATAGGGCTCTTGTGGTTAGGTCAAGAAAACAAGCTTATCCATGTTCTCCCATTCCTTGGGGAATTAGACCACCTTCCCAGAGGCACAGCTTCCCTCCCACAAGGTGTCGTGGATTTCAGCCAGGCTGCATTGAGTGCTTTGATGTCTTGCTCCCAGGATGCACTCAAGGCTCTTGCTTCTATGATGGTACAGAATTCAACACTCCACTCCCACAAATTTCTGCATCTCAAAATCATCATCTGTGATTTTGCTTCTTTATTACCTGGAATGAGTATCATTTCCTGGGAAGTTCAGCTAAAGAGTGCGAGATACTTATATCCATCAGTCTGAAGAGAATCAAAGGATTTCTTGTGCCTGAAATCACCGGGCGGAACTCCTTAAGTTCATTGTTCCACTGATGGTGCTTCACTGGCTTTTGCTGGAATCTGCCAGAGAACATCTTCCCTGGACCACAACCTTCTGCTCTGAACACGTAGCAGCTTGTGTGTTCCGGCCATCAACTGGCAAGGCCTCTTGTGTCACTTATCAACCCAGTTTCATTCCTGGGCCACAGATCAGCTTTATTCCTTCTATTTGCCTGGATTTCCTGCTGAATTTAAAAAATTACTTTTTCTCTGGTAGGAAGTGTTGAGCTTTTGGCTTGATTAAGGATAAACATTAGTTCTGTTCTTGTAGATAGTGAGAGTTTTACAAAAGCTCGGATTTATTTGCTTATCGTTTGAAAATAAACACTGAGTAATGTTGCTTGCCATTTCAACAGGATAGGTGCAGCTGTTTTTCCTACTCTTAATGAGAATTATTGGTGTTTGGAGGTATTGAATGTAACTAGTAGTAAATTTTTTTTTCATTTCTAATCAAAGACCATCACATTCTAAAGATTGATAGTCAAATATTTGTTTTAGAAGACTTTCAAACACTTGTTTAAATCAGACCCTGTGGACATTTCCAGGATACTGTCTGTGTCGAGTTCCTGTATTATGTTAACATCATTTAAAACACTTCAAAGATGCAAAACTTGTTTTACAACTCCAGCTAATATGATACTTACATAGTAGTGTCCCCAAACCAACAGTGTTTGTGTTCATTATTCTTCCTTTTATCTTGTCTGTAATCATAAAAATTAAGTGATGTTCAAAAACTTGCCTGAACAACAGATGCTATCTTGGAGAGATGTTTTAAATAGCCTGTATCTGTAGCTGTTCTGCCTCCTTAGCCAACATTGTCTTCAGCCTTCTTTACTCTCTTCTTTCTTTTTCAAGCATTTGCATGTAGAACAAAGAAAAGAAAAGCATAAAAACACAAAGGCAGATTTGTTTGTTCTGAGAACATCTGTTCTCCTTGCAAAGCAACCACATGATGTGGTCCGTTTTCTTCCATGCTCTCTTGGTTTGCAGTTGTAAAGCGACTGTTCCACCAGTCTTAAGACTGGAATTTAAAGATATTCCCTAATGTGTTGAAATGTAGGGAAAATATAATAAGTTTTAAATTTTAGGTGATAGTCAGATAAGCATCCTCACAAAGTAAGAGAAGCTGAGGTTGACTACAAAATGGTTTATTATAGAATTATTTCCCCCCAAGATTCCTTGAATGATTTCATGTCATCAGTATCCCATTTGGAGTATATTGGGTCCTGTTTACATTTCTTCAATGAATGCTTAGAATTCTTCTTAACTTGGATTGCACTTGAGGTGTGTATATATTCTGAAAAAATTTAAAGATAAAATACTAGCTGTAAATATTGTAATATATATATATATATATATATATATATATATATATATATATATATATATATATTTTAAGTTTGTTAATTTTTTCAGGAGAATTTCTCCCAAGCTTCAAATACTACCATAATCTTAATGACCAGCAAAAGTTCAAATACTTATTACTCAAAATCAAAAGGATCAGTTGAAAATTACCTAGAGATTCTACCCAGGAGATACTCCTTTTTTCTTTCCTAAATAATACCTTCAGTCTTTGGGATAGATGAATGGGGAGTAGACAGTGAAAGATATGTAAAGCTTCCAAAATTACTAAGATAAATGTATTAAATTTTATGAATGGTTACAAAAAATCTCCTATATACTCATTACGTATTCAAAAAGCAGGTATCCTCAGCCCAAGTATCTCAGATACATGGTATCTGTAAAAATTTATATATTCTATACTGAAGTCACATTCAGAGGTAGGGCTTTCTGTATGTTGATTTATTAATTCAGAAACATTTAATCAGCATCTTTCTGCATGGGCTCAGTTATCCACTTAGAAAGAAGAAACTTAGTCTAAATTCTGGGATTCCAGACAATGTTCTTTGTGAAATTTCCATCTCAGTTTAATGATGACACACATTCTCATGTAACATGACAGTTTTTCTCCTTGTTCACTGGATTGTTTTAATGCCTCCATGTCTCCATCTTTTGCACCCAATTACTACAATTTTCTATTGCTCCTGATTCTTCATGGTGTGCACCTGAATTTCATCTTGAGCATCTTGAACATGGATCTCTTGAGACAACTTAGTTTATTCTTTTCCTTACTGGGAAACATTCTCCTGACCTAAAAAGGATCATGTTTGAATTTTATGTTATTTCATGTTGTAAGTATTTAGATCTTTTTGGAGGAGGATGAGCAATGAGATAAGTCTAGGCCCCTTCACATTCCCTTCAGGAGCATTATTTATAATGGGGGGGGGGTTGGCATTATTTCTATGATGCTGTTTACAGTGGTGATTTCTGTGGTCACTGACTTCTGATGTACCCTGTGGTTAATGGAAATGTCATGTTAAGGCAATATATGTTACGGAGTTCTTTTCTCATCCGATTGGTGGGTATTTCCTAGAAGCCAGACTGGTGTATTATGCCTAAATCACCAAATGATTCTAAAAATAATTATGATGAATTTCCTGTATTTTCGATAAATCCATTTAGAATCTATTATTTTGAGAAATAAAGGACAGCTGACTATTGATTCCTATGAATCATCTCTTAGAGTCATTGGTACTGGAAAACCTTGTATCTATAAAGGAGGGAACCTATTTCTCTTATTACTTTGTGATTGTCCTTTAAGTTTGAATGGAGACTTTTGCTCCTGGGGACCTTTATGGAGGATCCTGTTGGATCTATGAGAGGGACACAATTCCTTGAATACTAATGGGTCATGTGCACCAGTGTGGCTTTGACACCCCTGATGCTGTGAGCACTACTTGGAGAACTGATTCTGACTCTGGCCCTTACCACCATCCTTAGGCAAAGGACCTGAGACCCTGTATGCAGGGCAGAAGCTCAATGACAACGAGTGGCACACCGTTCGGGTGGTGCGGAGAGGAAAAAGCCTAAAGTTAACCGTGGACGATGATGTGGCTGAGGGTGAGTGAAAATGTAACAAAACCGGTATCTCTTTGCTCTTATAGATTCCTCTGTCATTCCATCTTTTAAACCAGAGGCTAAGTAGAAGTCAGAAATCATGTTCTCTGTGGACAAGCTCAGGCAAGGCTAAGAAACAATTTTCCTCTGTATTTTTTAAAATTCCCCTTTCATCAATCTGTATTATAGAATTTACCTATTACTATTATTCTTTATTTTGGGGTCTCTCTCTGTAGTCACAGAACATACAACTGGAGGACAGATGTAGGGTTCTATGGATCCTTCTAGAATCCAATAATTCAAATGTCACTTATCAGTCATCCTCCAAGTACAAATTCCTTCAGTTGGTGAACAGGTTGTACTTAAGAAGAGGGAGGGAGGCTGGGGTTATGGCTCAGTGGTAAAGCGCTCACCTCGCACATGAAAAGCCCTGGGTCTGATCCTTAAAACACATAAAAATAAATAAATAAAATAAAAAGTTATAAAAAATTAAAAAAAGAAGAAAAGGGAGGTAGGTAATCTGGTGTTCAGAATATTTTAGGGACATGTAAATATCTAGCACAGTGCATGATATTTAGGAGTTGCTGAACAAGATTCCGTTTAATGAATTATTCATTTATTTAATCATTATTGCCTGAGTACCTATTTTGCACCCAGAACTGTTTTAGAAGGAACTTGGAATATGGTGATATAAAAACAGGTAAAATTTACATTTAGAGGGCAATGAAGAAATGAATGAACCCATACATATGTAAAGGAACATTTAGCAGCCCACACAACACAGAAGCAGTTCCTGAGAGCCTCTTGCATGTCAGCAGTGTGCTCAACTTGTAGACAATAAGAAGGACGTGCAGAGATCGCCTGTTGCCTCAAATAGTCAATCAATCATGAAGATTAGATAGGACTCTGGTATTTGAAAATGGAACAAGAATATATCATGAGATTCTAATTTGGATGGGTAAGATTATAATTGTCAATCAGAAGGGAAAATGACTGACAGGGTTGGGGTGATTGGGAGTTCTTTATGAAAGTAGATCTTCAGCCCAAATTTGACAGGTGGTGTGATAGATGAGGTCTAGGGTGGAAGAGAGAAGGCACATTCAAGTGCTGTTTTACACATTTTCCCCCTGTAAGTCTATACTCTCATATTCCAGAGCAGTACATAGTAGATAGAATTCTTATCTATTTGGTAAAGAAAAATTCGGGTAGTACTAGGAATTACATGGAACACTGCTGGCATCTGGTCTGGGTCCTGACACTAATTCTGCAGGGTGTTGGGAAAGTTACTCCCCATCCCTGGGCCTTGACAAGTACAATCAGAGACTAAGACATCTCTACAGGGCCTTCTGTGGATAAGACCGCCAGTTAGTCAGGAGCCCTGGGGTTTAAAGCAATCATTGCCATTAAATTGCTTTATGCCTTTGGGATAGATATACTAAACCTCTTTTTCTTCATTTCCTCATTTTGAAACTTGAACTTCTGTTACTTCTAAGGTTCTTTCTAGCAAAAATGTTCTGCGATTTTGAGTCCTATAATTCAATTTTATATTCATAAGCCTGAGTTTCTATATTTCTGGAGTCAGGAATTATAGTGAAACAGGAGTGTAGGGGTGTGTGTATGTAGGTTGAGAAAACCTCTCTGAGGATTGAGGAAGAACAGCTAGCATGTAGGCATTAGACACTGTGTTGTCTATCTTACATACATCAGCTCCTTTAATCTTTTATAATTCAGCATGGTCTTTCAAAATAAATGTTCATATTGTCAGAAAGGTAACATGAAATTTAGAGTTGGATAATTAAGCTTCAAATCCATGTCTTCTTGATTCTACCTCCAACCCATTGTAAGAAAATGATTTATCTGCCAGGTGTGGTGGTGTATACCTGTAATCCCAGCAGCTCTGGAGGCTGAGGCAGGAGGATGATGAGTTCAAATTCAGATTCAGTAATTTAGCGAAGTCCTAAACAACTCATCCAGATCCTGTCTTTGAATAAAATATAAAAAAAGGGGTGGGGATATGACTCAGTGGTTAAGTGCCCCTGTGTTCAATTCCCGTTACCAAAAAGAAAAAAGAAAAAAAAAAGATTTCTTTTTGAATACAGGAAAAGTGGAAAGAATGGGCAGGACTCGGGTGGGGAACACATTTTGGGAGGTAGACACATACCAACTCTCTCCCCCACAGGGAAACAAAGGCAAACAGAACCACAAGTGTATAACCATTGTAGTTATACACAGACGTCAGTAGAGAAAATATTGTTTTCTGTAGAAAGCATTGGTCTACGTTCCTGAGGGTAACTTAACTTTCTGAAATGAACGTAAGAAATGTGATGCAAGAAAAAATGGTTATACTGTTTAGAATGTGCAGTCAGCCTGCATTAGTTGTCCCAAAAATTATCACAAACCATTAGTGCAGGCAGGAGCACACAAAAGCTCTGGCGGTAGTTTGAACAAACAGCCCTTGCTAAACTGGGCTTGGCTGATTAAATCCCAGTGAGGAAATTCACAGCGTATTCTGAATAGCAGCCACTAGATGGCACCCTCACCCCAATTCTAGCCCTGAGTACTTTTCATTTTCCTTGGGAAATGCACACCCTGAAAGCTTCAAGAGCAGCAGAACTGAGGGGACTGTAATTCCCTCTCTCAATCATAATTCTTTGATAGAACCTTTGGAATAAAGGTAATTGTAAATTGTGCTTTCTGTTGCCAGTAATAATTAGAACGCAGGGCTAAACCAAGGAATGCCCAGGTCATGCAGTCATTGGATATTTGAAATTAACCAAGCTCCTTCACTTTCAGCCTTACCCCCTAATTCACTGGCGGTGGAACAAAGCAGCCACGAGGATGGAGAGATTTGGGAGAGGAAAAGAGTTATTTTGCTTAAGAGCTGTAACCTTGGGTTGCTTTTTTCAGTGATAAGGGGTTTGGGAATTTTAATTTTAGTTTATGGAAGTCATAAAATCAGGCAATGAAATTAAAATACCACACAGTCCCCAGGTTATTAAGTGGTGTCTTATTGGCTTATTTAGTAATTGCATTCATGCTGTTTAAGATCCCCCAGAGTGCCAAATTTTCAACTACTTTATAGAAATGATGCAAAGAATAGACCAGACTCATAAGAAATCAAAAGCAAATAAAGAAATAGTCCTCAACCTGGTGTTTTTCATTTATTATAGTGTAATTGTGTTCTCAGAAAGTATTAAGTTCAGTTGACAGTTAATAAGGATTGATTGATTGATTGGGCTGGATTTCTATTATTAAGAATAAATTAAAAGAATACCTCTGTTGGGTCATACCTCTCAGAATGGGGACCTAATGAACTATCCATTCCACCCAGAACTTCATGCTAATATAAAAATTCACCCCTTTGTTTCACTGCTTTGGTTCAAGTTGATTTCTCTCTCTGTCATTCATGCTGTAAAAAGTCGTTTTTTTTCCAGAGTTTTCCATTAAAAACATGTTCCTTGTGTTAATAAAAAGCCTGATTAAATAGGATTGGGAAATGTTAGGTCAAAAATCATGAAGTTCTGTACTGCCAAGACTTACTTATGAGGAACTTTTAATGAGCTAATGTACATTGCTAATCATCAATAATTAAATATGCAGTATTTGCCAAATGTATTTGGCTCCAGAAACTTTTTTTTCAATAAAGCATTTTATAGCACACACTCTTCAAAAGTGCTGATATCATGGAGAAAGACCAGGGGAGCTAGAGAGTTGTAGGGAAATATGGCCTTCATTTTAATTTCTCTTCCTGTGTCTTGGAGTCGGGGGAACTCAAGGTACTTCCTCTCTGCTTTTCCTATTATTATTATTATTTGCTAAGCCTTAATGTTGGCCAGGAACCTCATGAACAAATGAAGATATAAACTCTAACTCCTATGAAGACATCCCAAATACAAGCTCTGCCTTTCAGTTATAGGGATTCTTGAAGTAGTCAGGTCCCTGCAGAATACTAGAGGACACATGGAAGATACCCAAAGTTGTCCCTATTTTTTTTAAAAAAAACTTGTATTCTCAGAAAAGAGCAAATTAAATAAGTAAATAAGTGGAAAATGCATAAAACATTTCAGAGAAAGAGGGAAAAAACTGCTGTATCATTTAGTAATAGCTAATGATTTAAGTCCTATGTACCATTCTAAGTACTTTCTATGAATGGATTATGTTTAGCCCTGGGCAACTTCCTACCTAATTCACAAATGGGGAAGTGAGGCAGACAAAAGTTAGGTAACTCTCCTAAGGTAGCCCAGTTAAGAACTTGTGGAGTTAGAATGTAAATCCATGCTGTACAGCTCTTGAATTTATATACTCATCCACTATTTGCCATGGCCTCCTGGGGAGTTACATCGTGAACCTGGCCAATAGTTTCCAGAGGTTTATGTTCTTCATCACTCCAAGGATTGATCTGCAGACGGTTTCTTGGCTGTCTGTGAAATATGGAAGTGAATGTGTGAATAGGAGCCAAGGCAATGAGGCTGCTTTGGGGGAAGTTGCTGAATATATTACTCCTGAATCAGATGGAATGGCATTGTGGTGCTTGGCCAGGGGGAAGGAGTGGGAACTCATTACAACAGTTCCTGCATGGAAACTTCACCTGCTAAATTCTACCTGCTGCTTTTCTTGGATAATGGTGTTCGGGAATGAGTCCGATTTTTTTTTCTTTTTAAATAAATACACTATGGTGTACTAGTAAAGATGTGGGCTTTGGAATTTACACACCTGGGTTCAATTTGAGGGTCTCCCATTTACCACCTGTTTGATCCTTGATCACATTGCTTAACTTCTGTAAGCTAAAGGCCATCACCTCTAAAGCAAGATGATGATACCTATATACAATTTTATTGTAATAATGATGTCTGGGAGGCAGCGCTTAGTGCAGCGTTTGGTGTACAGGGAATAGTCAGAGTCTTGGCTTCTCTTTGTTATCTTTCACCCAAGTTACTTCTCTGCCCTCCCAAATTTTAAAACAGATACTATAAGGTATGCATTTATTTATTCACTCCTGAAGTGGAAGGGAGGTTTATTGTACAGACAGGAAGATATAAATGAAGGGGTTCCAAGTCACTAAAATGGATTAGCTGACACACATAGATAGATTTATTTTAAAATATTTGGTTAGACTGGTACAGGTTTCAAATTTGAAGAATTTTTTTCATGCTTTTGCTAGGTGCCCCAGACTTTTTTATTTATTTATTTTTTAATCATCATCCACAGAGGAGTAAGTTCCATTAGCAAGTACTAGAGCCAGTACCTCTTTAAGTTTGGCTCTACATTGCCTTCTCCCCTCTCCTCCCTGGCTCAGATTTGAAGCTGTGCTCTGAGTCACCCTAGACTCTGACTCAGGCTGCGTTCCTGGGCTCATCCTGGGATTTCCTTCTCCCCCCTTCTTGGCTTCTGTCCCACATATCCAAGCCCTTGCCCAGGCCCTGGCTCAGTCTTTCTCCATTTTCATTCCCATTATTTTTTGCTTTATACCACTGATTTTCTGGTGAGCAGAATTTCACAAGCTCTCCAGTCAGAATTTCCTTCAAAGCTACCGATTGGCTTGAAAATTGTCTCTTTAGATTTCTTTTAGAAGCCAGGGATCTAGCTTTTTGGATTACCATGAACCACCATTCTTACTTCTTAGTTCTCATAGTGCAGTTTTTAAAAACACAGATTAGCAAGGCTGTGAACATAGTTGTAGATGCTTTCCTTCAACCCCATGCAAGTTGGTTGTGACTGTCCCTCTCATACTCTAGCCACAGTCCTAATGCCTGTATGAACAGCTATAGCCAAGTTGACATCAGGAGCTTATTTCAGTTGTTTTAAAACATGTGACTGCATGTTGCTCTGGGGTTGTGTTTTCTCCAGGCAGGCCCAATCCCAGTGGCTGTTGCAAGGCCACTGGGAACTCTATGCTTTGAACAAGCCTTGCTTGAAACAGGCCTTTCATCAGTATGCTTGCAAAAGCTCTGGAGCGCATTATCACTGTGCTGGTTTGGATTGTTCCTAATCTAGTCCTCTGCAAGGTGGTTCAGCCTAGATCAGCCACATAAGCATCATCTTGAACTTTGCTAGAAATATAGATTCTCAAGTGTCAACCAGGACTTTTGAACTAATAAATTCTGAGCGTGGGGCCTAAGCCTTCAGATAATTCTGACATGTATCAACATTTGATGATCAAATTTTCAGTCCTTAGACTAAAAAAAAAAAAAGTTTGTGATTGGGTGATAAAGCATAAGGAATAGTCTAATCAGGATAGTTTGATTAGGGTCAACTTCATTCATTCCATCCATACAGTTTAAGAGCAGAAGGTAGTTTCCCAAAGGAAAATTAGGTGTTATTGCTAGAAAATAATAAGTTGCTGGGCAGATAAAACCAACCGATGTTCTAAAGTAGAAATTTTTCTACAAGTACTAGGTGGTGGATTATTATAGCAAGAAATATTTGGTAGTATCTTTGACAAGAGCTGGGGCAGCAAAGACCTTTCTTCTTATCCTGTACATTGGTATGCAATCATTTTCTTGAACACAGAGAACTCATAGTTTTAGCCTGTTTAAGTGGGTTCCCCTTAATCTCACATTCTTCTTTTTATGACAAGCCACTCTGAGCAGATATTTGGGCATCTGGATGCAGGACATAGGACTTGGGCTGAGTCAGAGCTCAGCTCTTTGATTGGCACCAAATCAGATATATCCTATAATGATTACCTTGTTTTCTTGAACTGAATCAAGGAAATCGAACCATTTGAATTCCATCAAGTTTCAAGTTACACTAAAAGATATAGTAAGGATCCTGTGACAGAACATAACTCTTCCTGTTTGTACCTCATATCTGGTTTTCATAGGTACAATGGTGGGAGACCACACTCGCTTGGAGTTCCATAATATTGAAACTGGTATCATGACAGAGAAACGATACATCTCCATCGTTCCCTCTAGTTTCATTGGGCACCTGCAGAGCCTCATGTTTAATGGCTTGCTCTACATTGACTTGTGCAAAAATGGTGACATTGATTACTGTGAGCTGAAGGCTCGTTTTGGACTGAGGAACATCATCGCTGACCCCGTCACCTTTAAGACCAAGAGCAGCTACCTGAGCCTTGCCACCCTCCAGGCCTACACCTCCATGCACCTCTTCTTCCAGTTCAAGACCACCTCGGCTGATGGCTTCATTCTCTTCAACAGCGGTGATGGCAATGACTTCATTGCAGTTGAGCTAGTCAAGGGGTAAGATATGGGGCCCCCAATGGTTTATGCTGGATATCTTTGCACAAGCCCCACATAAAACACAGACATAAAACAAACAAACAAAAAAAAAAAACTGTTCATTCCATTCTCTTACCTCTGTTCTTTTCATGTTATAGCGTCCTCTTTGATTACAAAGAGTCACAAAATGATTCAAGATAGAAAAGAGATTCATAACGCTATTTAAGATTTTCCATTATTTGGTAGGGAATGTCATAGCTACTTACTCTGAAATATAGTCCTTTAAAACTATGGGGGGAAAATAAGCTTATTTTTTTCAGAAGAGGACTCAGGCATGTTTTACATCCATCTCTTGAGTAATACTAACTGTAACCGCCAACTATATGCCTAGAAATGAAGTACAGATATTTGCAACTCAACCATCAGCTCATATATAAATTAGTTTTAAAAGCTGCCCTTTCTTTAAGACATTTTACTACCACATGTTGGAAAATACTAAAAAAAAAAAATCAAAATCAGAACCAGATCCTTGACCAAAGGAATGAAGTATTGCCCCAGAGTTTTATAGTGAACCACCTGTGCTACTTCTTGGCTCTAGATAGTATTACTACTAGATAGTACTACATGACATTATTCTAGATAGTATTACATAACAGTGTTAAAAAGAAGTAGCTTCTATGAGAATGGATCAAGAACCAAGTATAATAGGGTAGGAACTGACCCTTCTTATGAACTATGCTTTAATGATTGTCACATTATACCAGTTTAGCTTGGGAGACTCAAAGCCCCCTGCACATTGCCGGTAGTGCAGCAGGGAATTGCTAGTCATTGGTGGTGATTGTTCCTCACAGGTACATACACTACGTTTTTGATCTCGGAAATGGCCCCAATGTGATCAAAGGTAATAGTGATCGCCCCCTGAATGACAACCAGTGGCACAACGTCGTCATCACTCGGGACAACAGTAACACTCACAGCCTGAAGGTGGACACCAAGGTGGTCACACAAGTTATCAATGGTGCCAAAAATCTGGATTTGAAAGGTAAACTTTGTCGATAAGTTTATCCTTCTTGGAGCATTTCTTACAATAGAAGCCCTGTTTCCAGAGGCAAACTCCAGGTTAGGCGTGCCACCTATTTTTTGAGACATTGTGCATTTCCTAGCTAAGCAACGTTGAATTACACCATAATGCAACTGAGCCTTGTCTTTGTATAGACCCCGCTTCAAACAACAGTTCCTTTCTTATGATCTCAGGAATGTCTTGTGGCAGGTACCAAGGAGATGGTCAATGTCAACATGTGAGAGGGTCCATAATAAAAAAAGAAGAACCATAGTCTTTCAGCTGAGTCATGTTCTGCCTAGATGACATTGGTAAATTTTTCTCAGCCGTAGTCAGCTTACGTATATTATTTTTTGTAAAATGAGGACGATGATTTTTACTCCCTTTATGGGTCATTAGGAGCTTTGATGACTGTTGGTAGAGCCCTTCAGCATAGTGTTGGTTATAAGCACCAAAAAAAATGTTTTGTTGAAAATATAGTTCATCTTTACTTGACCGTATCATGGGGACAGTGCCTACTTCCAAGGATTGATTTGATGATTAAAATTTGTATATAAAATGCATGGCATATAAGAAATGTTGGTTTCTTCTCTTGACAATTTAGAGATCCTGGTAATTATTTGGTTTTCAGCTGGTCCTGTCCAGATTGTGTTCCACAAATACCCAATAGTCTGAAGTGCTTGGGGAACTGCTCACATGGCTACCATATCCTTTACTCAGTCTATTTTGCTACCTACCGTCCCATCTAGGCGACCTCTACATGGCTGGCCTGGCCCAAGGCATGTACAGCAACCTCCCGAAGCTTGTGGCCTCTCGGGATGGCTTCCAGGGCTGTCTGGCATCTGTGGACTTGAACGGGCGGCTGCCGGATCTCATCAATGATGCCCTCCACAGGAGCGGGCAGATCGAGCGTGGCTGTGAAGGTACCAGCTTTCCTTTGAAGTTCCAGCCTTGTGGCAAGCACCAAGCCTCTCTGCTGCCTCTGCCAATGCCTCTTTCCTCAATTGACCAGTCCTCTCTCATCCCATTTGCCACCTGACATTGCACTGCCAGCATTGCCCTGTTGTTCCCGGCTGAGTATGTCAGGACATGTGCCACAGGCTCTAGGAGTATGTGTTGGCAGATGTCCCCCAGGATCACATACTTGCCCACAGAGAACCTTCCCTGGCATTGACATCAGGCTTCTTCCAATTTGTGCCTTTGCTTCCTGAATGGCTGAAAAGGGCATCAGAGACTTTTACTTATATTTTAATACATGATCAGGGACAGACTTTACTTAGGTATCAACATCAATAAAATGCTTCTTATTTTGGCTAATATGGACTGCATGTTTGAACATAAATGCAACAGGAGATAGGAAAATGATGTCAAAATGCCATGAAAATGGAAGGGAACTAATATTTATTGAGTGCTTGCTAGAAATCAGGCATTGTTAGGCAGCCCCTTATTGTGGAATCGTGGAACACCATGGGCTTTGGTGTTGGAAAGACCTAGATCTAGGTCCGGGTAGTAGCTCCTGTTAACTGAGTGCCATTCAGCAAATTACTGAACCGCTTTGAGCTACATCATTCTTCCTTATTTTTTTTCCTGTAAAATGAGGCATCCAAACTTGCCTTGAAAGATAATATAAATAAATCTGAGTGAGAAAAATGCCTGATCCATAGTAGACACTTGATAAACATGGGATTATTGTTTACAAATATTATCTCATGTAAGGAATATAATAACAACTGCGTACCCACCTCTGCAGCACAACAAACCATGCTCAGCCTGTTTCTAAAGATGATCCACTCTCTTTTGAGACATTAGCTGATTTTACAAGTCTTTCTGAATCCAAGTTCTTTACAATTAAAGCAATCTAATTTTAGTCAGTAGAGGGCAGCAGTGATCACATTTGGGGTTCCCTAGCAGCCTCGGTTTGGCTGAAAAGGTGACTGACTATACACCTAATTGCCAGGCAAAGAGCTTGCTTGACCAGTCACCAAGATCCATGTGTTCTTTCCTTTTGGTTGAGCCTCATGGTCCTTTGTGCAGAGTATTATGGTTTTTTGTACTCCTTTGTTAATTTACTGGTGTTAAATGGGTTCATTCATTTCCTGTGTTCAACGTCATCCATCTCTCCTGTTGTTAATCGGCTTTCATTTGAGTCCACTCACTACCTTACAGCACAGTTTTGTCAAAGCTTCTCATCAGCTTCTCATTCTGACTTTGTATTTATGCAAGTTGTTTCCCTTCGCCTAAGAGTCAGCTGCCTGTGCTGCACTAGTGTGAGACCCATCATCCCTACATCCCTACAACCTACTCCAAGTTTCTTTAGCCAGAAACTTTTTCTAAATGCTATTGTCCACATTTGGAGTGTGTGTGTGTGTGTGTGTGTGTGTGTGTGTATGTGGGGGGCAGGAGGTTCAGAATCACTAAGTTCTTAAAGCAGTCACTTATGTGTTCTAGAAATGCAGAATTTCATTCATCTAAAAAAATTTTTTTTAAATCCTCCTGACCTGTTTGTAATTTTTCAAGTGTTAAAGGATAATCCTGGAATAGATGCAGCATTTAGGATTAAATTGAGTATCTTAGTTTAGAAGATTGTGAAATGACCATATTTCTAATTATCCTGGAATTATTAATCATATCAACTTAAATCCTAAAAGCACATATTAAAAAGCATAAGGCACTCACTATTCAAATGCTTTATCATACCATCACTTCTTCAACATGGAATGTTAAGAGCAATCATTCATTTTATTCTAAAATAATGTTGCCCAATAGAATCATAACACAAGTCACACATGTGGCTTTAAATTTCCCAGTAGCTACATTTTTTAAAAGGTGTTAAATAACTGGTAAAATAATTTTAATTTTATATGATAGACCCAATATATACAAAATATTATTTAAACATGTAATTAATATAAATTTATTAGTAGATTCTTAGATTTTTTTCTTCAATAGATTAGGAGTCTCACATTCATTTCTGTGATATTAATCCTGCAAAACTGTGCATTTTCCATCTACAGCACACCTCAGTTCAATATGCACATGTTTAAAGGGTTCTGCAGCTGCCTGTGTCTCTGGCTGCTGCATTGGAAGCACAGTTCTATTCAATATAAGAATTGGGATGTGGAGGAATAAAGCTATAGTATTGGATTAAAAGAATGTCTGAACTACCTTTTATAAAATGTATAGTGTAAGGGGGAGTGGATCCCACTTAAGAGAGCCTCAAGAGAAGCAATGGGAGTGTTAGCAGAAAGAGATGATCCATGGCACTGGGGAGATGTTCTTGCCCAACCTGAAGCTCCATGTGTAGTTTAGCGTGACTCATCACATGCATTATAGTGTGTGCAGAGCTTCCTGTAACTACTGGTGATTGTTCCCAGCCGGATATTGTGACTTGATGGCTCTCCCATCCTAATCGATGGTAAAGCCCACGGGCCTAATCATGCTGCACTCTATTGCCATGGAGATAATGACGATGGTTCCCCGTGGAGCATTGTGACTGCCCTACTGGGTGGGAAGGAGTGGAGGACGAGTGCAAGGGAAGGAGGCTCTTGTTTATTGTACACAGATGACTTCGATAATGAGCCTAAGTGGCCAGAAAAATGGCCCCAAAGTGGGTTAAGGCATAAATTACTGTCATTGAAAGTTTGCACCATTGTGAATAAGCCCTCATAAAAGGACCCAAGAGCTTTTTAGGGTTCTGTGGAAATGAGGTTGTGGAAGATAGTGGGGAGGAAAATGAAGGGCCTTGAACCTTGGAGAGACTGCTGTGCAAGGTGTCATCTCCTTCTGACTCTTTTATACATAGTGTGTGCCTTTGGGGGTGAGGCAGGAAAGAACACATTTCTCACTGATCATTTCTGCATATAGAATAGAAAACAGGTGGTAGAGAAGGTTTCCTTACTCAGAACTAAGACCTGAATCTCTTTAAGATGGAGAATGTGCTTCATTTTCATACATTTAGTGTCCTTAGAGCAGGATACATCCTATGTTCCTGTTAAAGTCAATGACAATGACATTCCAAGATGTATGAGTGGTAAAGGTAGTATTTCCCAATTATATCTGACCCACAGCAACAGAGCAAATAAAAGACAAAAGAATCCAAAATCAATTTAAAAGCTTATTATTCCAATATCCTTTGGCTCTCCATTTTTGTAGAAAGAAGAACCATTTGAATCAGGCAAAACCTATAACATATGCAGTATGTAAAATTTAGAAATTAAGTGCTTTTCCTAGCCAACATCTAGCTGTGACTTTAGACCTATCTGTTTGGGCAAAGATGTCTTAAAATAATACCCCAGTTAATTCTTGGCTGGTACATGTCTCTTTGCATCTTGAGGTGAATTTTGCTATTGAGACTCAGGCCTCACTGTCTAGAAATGCTAATCCACAATTTCAGATGATAATCATCTGAGAGAAACACACATGCATTGTTTGAAGACTCGAATGAACAAATAAAAAGGACACTGGTTTGGTGCCTTTTTGCCCACAAACATTTGGGTTTGACTCTATTCTTATAATTTGAAAAATTGAGCTCTAGTGGTATTCCCAATAAATCACCTTGATAGAAATGCTCAATTCTGGTGCCATGTTTCATGGTGACATTTGCAAGAGGGTGCCGGGGGTGATTCCCAAGTGACTCTTCCATGCTCAAGTCCTGAGCATTCAGAATTATTTTTGTGGGCTCTGTCTGTGCACACGTGTCTTTCAGTCTGGCTACCCTTGTTTCTGGACCATATACACCTTGGGGCTTGCTGTGCAAATGTGTGAAGCCTCCCTGTGCCCATCGCTTGTGCTTTGTGAAGTTCACTACTTTCCTGCCCCTGCTCTGCTGACTTGGCTCTGAGGAGGCCTGCTCTGCCCCTGGTCTGCGCGTCCCCTTGTCCCCTTGTCTGTGCTGTCTCTGGTGAACCTGTAGAGCATCTCCATGTCTTGTCTGAGTGATATTGGTTATGCAAACTGCGTTTTCGTTTCTGTAATGTGACCCTGGTTTATTCTATCTCTTACTAACCTCTGGTTATTGTTTTCGCTTTTTCTGTTCTTTTGCTAACAAAGTTGCGTTGACCAAAGCTGACCTGCAAGGTAGAGAAGGCTCTTATTCCCATTACCACTTTGGCCTGAAAGATGCCCCGTGTAACCCTTGGTATCTCGGCTTTAGAGGGCTTCAAGCTGTCACACCTCTTAGACTGCTGCTATTGTGGGGAGGGGGCTGAAACCAGTGTTCTTCTAAAAGGGTGACTGAAACCCTGCATCAGTGCATGAAAAATAACTATACAGAGGAAATCTCAGGGGAATAAGAACATGATTTCATTCGGGGGGGGGGGAACCAAAGAGGTTTGACAGCATCCTATAGCTGTGACTATCCACGAACACATTCACCCTTTCCGGAAATGGTTAACACCTCTTGGTGATTGCCATGGAGAGATTGGCTCCCTTTAATCTATTTGCCATAGTCAGAAGGCAGAACTTGGAATGAGGGAAAAAAAAAGGCCACTTGAGTTTCTTCATTTATTATTCTCTAGGTCAGGAAGGTCACTTCCTAGAGCAGTGTGTTTAACTGCTTGGGCCTTATGAAAGAGCATATCATTTAACTCATTTTATAAAGAAATAGTTTTAGGCATTTGGGAGATATTAATGTCATTAAAGCATTCCAGAGGTTTATATTTCCTATTGGGGATTTTCATTGAGCATTTTAATTTCCTGTGTTGTGATCTAAGGGAAAAAGCACTCTTGGGGGAAAAAGAGGATCTGTCAGTTTTATTCTGAATACCCTATAAAATGCCTGCATGTGCGATATCAGTGAATATCTGCTGCAGAAGCTGCTTTTTCTACCATTCAAAGAGGAACCTTATAAAATCCATAACTACCTACTGGTCCTGTCGTGTCTGGCTTCTTTGACTCAGAATAGCAAGGGAGGAACAAGCATGTG